AAATAATGCGTCCTTTAAACATATATCAAATCAAAGGTTATGTTATATACTATCAAATGAAAAAAAAAAAATTTGTCCCGACACTTTATCTTCTACATGTAAACGGCTGCCGTAGTTAAAAAAACACTATTTTTGTGTTAAAATTTTCGATTTTAAATTTTCNACTATTTTTTTGTTAAAATTTTCGATTTTGGATTTTAAATTTTCAACTTAAAAATGCTATAACTTTTTGAAAAATGTATATATCAGCACATTTTTTTTTTTTTTTAATATATTATAAGTACATCTTTCATTTGACATACTTTTTATTAAAATTGGACAATTTCCCCTTATATAGGGGGCGTTCAAAACTTGAAATATTGTAAAAAACATAGATCTTTTTCAACTGAACTTTTGAAAATGTTCCGGAAATACTGCGTCCTTTAAACATATATCAAATCAAAGGTTATGTTATATACTATCAAATGAAAAAAAAAATTTGTCCCGACATCTTATCTTCTATGTGCAAATGGCTGTCGAAAATTTAAAAAAATGTATTGTTTGCGATAAAAATCACCTTTTATAACGATGTTTTTTGTACTTAAAACTGCCATAACTTTTTCAAAAATGAACAAATAAAAATAATATTTTTTTGTATTGAAACCTTAGATATTTCTCTTTCATTTGATATCATTTTTTTTTGAAAATCTAACACTTATTCTGCTCACTGGGGCGATTTAAAATAGTAACTTTTTTACAAAAAATAACTTTTTCAACCTTATTTTTGAAAATGTTCCGGAAATACTGCGTCCTTTAAACATATATCAAATTAAAGCTTATTTTATGTACTATAAAATAAAATAAAAAAATTTGTCCCGACAACCTATCTTCTATGCGCAAAAGGCTACCGTATTCAAAAATATGCTATTTTAACAAATTTTTTTTTATAAATTAAACACTATCTACAGATTTGCATCGAAGCGTTTTTTATGATAGTGATTTTAATCACTGTCAGATATCATCTATACTGGACCCAACTATGCCACGACCACACTGTGCCGCCACCCCACTGTGCTGGGTTTTTTTTTTTTTACTTAAAATTGCCATAACTTTTTTTAAAAATAATCAAATTAGTATAATTCTTTTTTGTATATAGATGCATAATATCATTACCTTATCACGGTGAAAATAGCTACCGAATGCTATTTTTGTGTGAAAATTCTGGATTTTATATTTTAAATTTTTAACTTTATGTATATGGATCAATACAATTTTTTTATGAGAAATAATATTTATATGCCTCTTTCATTCATCATACTTCATCTTAATCAGGGTATAAATAAGATAATAGAAAATCATGTAGCTTTTGTAATAATTCACCAATTTTTTAAAATTAAACACTATCTAAAGATTTGCATCGAATCGTTTTTTATGATTGCGATTTTATTTATTATCAGATATCATTTTACTTGAATTAACTATGCCACGTCACTACTGTGCTGTGAGCACCCTGTGCTGGGTTTTTTAAAATTTATGAGAAATTTTCCTAAGTTGAACTCAAATTAATTTTATATCGTGAATTTTAGATTATATTAAAACCTGAAACAATTAAAAATAGTTAGTTATAATTAACTATTATTAATTATTTCTAAAATAAATCAAGATATATTTTTTTTTTTGTAGCAATGCATTCGACAACAATTTAAAGTAACTAGCCTAAAACATTACTCGTAATTTAATGTATTTAAGAAGAGATACATAATGTTCAAATCTAAGTTAGTAATATTATTTAAAAAAAACTGATAAAAGTACTTTTGTTTTTTGGAGTTAAAGACAATTTTTAATAAACATTAATATTTGAGGAATATTCTTATTTAATTTTTCATTTAATTATATACAATAACTATAAAAGTTTGAACTCTAATGTGAACCGCTTGTTATAATTCATATTAATTATAAAAAAAAATGTCTTAATCAATTCAATGAATTATTTTTATGATAAGACTCTTTATTAATACATTAAGGGTTTTTATGGCTTAATTAATAAATATTAATGCTATGAATTGTATAATAAAAATTGATCACTTGTGGCTAGTTAATTAAGTAAAATTAAAACTATATTAAAAATATTATTAATTTAAAAAAACTAAAAAATATTAAAAATATTAAACTCAAAAGCCACAAAAAAATTAATGAAAAGTCGCGGATACGTATTTCGGAAACAATGTTACCATTATCAACGCTAAACACATACTGATATGTATAGTGTTGTACGTCGGTAGTGCCCCGACGTAGACACAAAAGGTCGTACACAAATTAACAAATGTTCTTCGACGACGAGTTCGTCGTTTTTAGCTCTTCTCGAGACAGTGTATCCCGTTGGATACACTGGTTAGCCCCAATACCTCAAATTAGTGAACTACTAAAGGGGTAGAGTTTTGACCCGTCATCACGGTTTAGCTCAAAAGTAGCAGACTGACACAAGCACAACTACCTTTTCATTATACCTACTAAAGGACGGTTTAGTCCAAAAACTAGCCAGCACGTACACTAATTATTAAGATTGACCAAAGGACCAGCAGTCCAACCTCCACTCTTGCTGCACACACACACAATTTTAACAGGATATAAAATATTTACGCTAAGTGCAGGTTTTTAAATAGTTATTTTATTTAAGAAACGTAATAAACACAATGTTAAAATGTAATGTAACACGAAACAAATTAAATAGTACAATAACAAAGTCCTCGCGTCAAACATCCCCACCCTTAACTCGACGTTTCTTCGACCAAACGTCCAGTTCCACGTTTCATGTTTCCCTTTTATATTCTTTTTGCCACCATTATTAATTTGCTTACCCTGCATTTGCCTTTTTTATGACATTATTATATTTCATGAGATTCAAAATTTGCTTACTACTGTTGTAAATTTTATTTCGACGTTATTCAGCTATTTACTACACTCCCCTATGTTAAAAAAAAAAAAAATGCCCTCATATTTTTGGAAAACTGACTTTGGTTATTTACAACACTAAATAATTGGAAGGAAAAAGAAAGGTTAATAAATTTTGTATCAATAATTTTTTTTTTTTTTTTTGATATAATATTTTTCTAATTATTCAACCTTTTTTTACTATAATATTTTTTTTGTTTTTATTTATTTTATTTTAATATTTGTTATTATTCAAATGTCTATTTTTTTTTCATCGTACCTCTTAAGTAAGTTTTTTTTTCTTATATGGTACTTAGTATACTATTTTATAAGAATTTTTTGATAGCTATTTAGTATTATGTCTAAGTCGTTTATATACATTTAAAAACTAGGCGATTGATAATCACTAATTATTGTTGTAGTTGAGTGGTTTATTGTAACAGATATTGCAACTGTTACGAGAGTTTGTAAAACGATTATATATGTTTGTTGATGTTTTATTTTGGATTTAATTATTATAACAACACCATCCAAAGGTCTAGCCGCCATCCTACCTATCTTTCCGGTAAGAGGTATACACATTCAATTTTATTTTATCTCCTAACATTCATTATACAACATCTACTTACTTTATTATAAACAAAAAATATTTTAGTGTCATATTCTATTATATAATATGACATTAATGTCATATTTTAATTTTTGACACAAGAAAAAAAAGATTTATTATTATCTATTAAATATTCACATTGTTTTTCAATAGTGCCGAATCCAAAAATTTGAAAATATATTCTTTGGCAATTAGATGCTTCAATTTTTTTTGATATATAAAAAAAACAACTTTGAAATTATAAACTAGTTTAATTGTTTTCTTTTTATCTACCGACAATTTAAGTATACATTATAGTTATATCTTGTAGTATTCTATAATATTCAAAAATATTCCATGTTTCATCTATGATTTCGTCCGCTGATTTATTGTTGAATTTATTTTTAACTTATATTTTTTCTTCTTTTTCCTCGCCTACTCAACTACTTGGGGTCGGCCGGCCACCCTTATCCTAAATTTCCACTTGACACGATCTCTCACATCATTTAGCCTCACATCAGCTGTTCCCATATCGTATTCAATAGCATCCCTCCATCTCTTTTTTGGTATTCCTCTACCTCTTCTCCCTTCAACATTCATTTCTACCATTGTTCTTACAGCTTCCAATTTCTTTCTCCTCATAACTTGACCAAACCATCTAAGTTTATTTTCTCTTGTGTTATCCACGATTGACGCTACACCTATTCTCCCTCTTATATGCTCTTTCCTTATCATATCTTCTTTAGTAACTCCACTCATCCATCTAAGCATTATCATTTCTGCTACACTCATTATTTGTTCTATTCTCTTGCCAACCATCCAACACTCTGAATCATACATCATAGCTAGTGATCCAATGTGTGTGTTAGTAAAATTGTAAATTAAAAATATCGAATGTAGTGACGATAACTAGAAGCACTGTTAATGTTAAAATAATGTCGAATGAAAATGGAACAATTATTCATTGAATGTTAATAATTAATATAAAAAATCAATAAATAATAGATAGTTCTAAATATTAGTTAAAGTTTAAATTTAGGAAACGGTACCCCAAGATGTGTTTAATAAGCTCAAGTTTTTTTTCAATTTCAAATTAAATTAAGTCTATTGTCTACCCTAGAATTACTTTGAGGAAATGGGACGTTTAATTGCATGTTTTTAGTTTCTAATTGTATCTTTATTATATTGTATTTATTAACATATCGCAAACAATAATTAAGTTTTTTATATAAAATTTGAAAACATCAAGTATTTGTTGTTCTTACCATACCAAAAAACTGTTAGTTTAGCGTATGTCAACTTTTCTTTTATCGGATAATTTTGATAAAACATCTATTAAACAATTTTAAAATAGTTTAATTACCGTAAATTACTTATCGTAATTATTATTCAATATTTTTTAAAAATTGCGATAGTTTGTGACATTTGTGACTTTATGCTTAGGTATGAAATTACGAGTCTATATGACTATGAAAACATATTATAAAGTATCCTTCTATATTATTATTATTAATTGAAAACATTTTAAGAAATAATCCAGTGACCCTAGTTGCTGATGTTTTTATTTAACATACAAAGAAAAATTATAAAAAATATCATAAATAATTTTATTAATAACTTTAATTTTTACTTTCAGTACCAGAATAACATTTCAATTTTAAAAGTGAAGATGATTAATGAAGAAAAAAGTGTAATACATATAAAATTAATGAAATTATTAGGATTATATCAATTACTTAACCAAAAATACTCAACAATTATAGGTTATAATTTGTTAAAATGTTTTACTTACCTTGAAATACAATTAATAGTTATATTTGTAACTATGAGCGTATGGTCTGTATTATGGTGTTACACAGATTTATTTGCAATAGTTAGATTCAGTATGTCTTTTGTTGGTGGATTAGTTGCAGGTGTCAAATTATATACAATGATTCGTACTTCAAATAAAATACGTAAATGCTTACAATACACTTCTATCGACTACTTAATTTATAAAGATCATGATAAAGATTTACTTATGGAAGGTAAAAAAAGAGTAGTATTTATTACAAACTTCTATGCTATTTGTTGGATATCTATTTGTTTGGGCTGGATATGTGGCCCTATGATATTAAAAAAAATGAAAACAATAATACATTTCAAAGGCTCTGTTCAAATTTATAATTACAACATATTTAATTTTATGTTTTTAAAATCTGATAAGTTGTACAATAAATACTTTAAAATATTTTGGATGATAGAATCAATTCTTGTACTCGCATGGTGTCATGTAACAATAGCATATGGTGTTTTGTTCATGTCAATATGCATTACAATTAGCTATCAATTGAAATGTATTTCTTCATCGTGTGCACAATTGGGATATTCAAAAATCAATAGTAAGAAAAACTACACTATGTAACAACTATCTTCACATATTTAAATTTTAGATTTGTTCCGTGAAGTTAACTATTTTAATATATTAAATAAGAAAAAATAGATTAGAAAAAGAGCAATGGTCCTTCAACTTAATTTTTGTCTAATTAAAAAAAAATGTAACACTTTATAAAAAAATTAATTAATTTAAAATTTAAACTTCATTTGTATATTTTTTTAGTTTTAAGTAGTGAAACAGAAGAATTGACAGTATTCAATAATTTCAAAACATTGATTGAAGATCAACTTCGTACCTTTAGGTAAGATTAATTTTATTCTTGAAAAAGAAAAATGTATAATTTGCTAAAAATTTTTGAATACTAAAAAACAAATTTTAAACAAACCTTTTTTTATAATTTTTTTTACCATACATTGATTAAGATTATTTATTAAGATCAATTTTTTTGTAGATTAAATGCATCATTTAATTATTTTTTATTAATAAAAAAAAAGAATTTTAGCTTCGATACGAAGATGAGAAGGTATAAATTTTACTATGATGTTTTTATATATATATTTTTTTTTGTATGTGTCTATTACCACTTTTTCTCAGCTCTCATCGAATCGATTTCTTTCATGGACACATCAAAAGATCATAAATTGTATTTAGTCGTAGACACTACCCTCAAAAATTGAAAAATTTTCTCTCGTTCTTTGTGAATATGAGAAATGTACAACTTTTAAAATCGGTAATTTTCGACATTTTTATATGTCAAATGAAAAAAAATAATTACCAAATGATATGTAAAGACCTCATGTATCTATATAAAAAAAAATTTAATTGATTTGGTCATTTTTAAAAATGTTATGGCAGTTTTAAGTACAAAATATTAAAAAAATTTTGATAATTAGCGATTTATAAATTTGTAATATTTTTGGAGATTTCTTCCATTTATATCGAAATTTTTTTTTCATTGTATAGTATATTACATAAACTTTAATTGAAGATTAAATGAAAATGTCAGCATATCCGAAATATTTTCAAAAATTGAGTTGAAAAATTATAACTTATGTGTATAAATTGTTATTTTTAATCCCCACCGAAGTACGGCAAAAGTCAAATTTTCTAAAATGTATATCAAATGAAAAAAATAAATGTAAATTATTTATGTAAAAATAATTGTATTGATCCGTACATTTTTCGAAAAGTTATAGTAATTTAAAGTTGAAAATATAGAATCTGAAATCGTAAATTTTGTGCCGGGGAAAAAACATTTATTAGCATACCCGTTATCTAGATTATGTTTAGACGATGAACTTATATTTGAAAATGCGTGTAGTAAATTAGTTCATGAAGTTGTCTTATCATCTGAAAAAGTATTATTAGTGTCACCTAAGAAACAAAAATTATTAAAATTAAATACTCTTGTTAGCAAAAATGTTTGAGTTATATTATAATTGGTGGGATATCAAATCTCTAGATTTATCAAACAATGCAGAAATAGGCAAACTTATTAAAGAAAAATATTTTATTACTGTTAGTGATGAGTTAATTTTTTTTTAATGATTGTATAGTAGTTCCAAAAGAGCTTGGAAAAGATGTAATGAATAAGTTACATTCGCGGATCACAAGGGTTTAACTAAAGCAAAAGAAGTAGTTTATTGGACCTATATGGTCAATGATTTTAAAAAAATTCTGTCTAACTGTATACCTTGTAACAAGTATAAGAGAGCTAATATAATGGAACCTCTAATGTCTCATGAGCTAGCATTACATTCATAATTTAAATTAGGCGTAGATCATGCAGAAATAGCTGGAAAAGTTTGTTTATTGGTAGTTGATTACTATTCAAAATGGTTTGAAGCAATTAAAGTTCCATCAAAGAATATCAATGTAGTGATAAGGGAATTAGAAAATCTGTTCTCTCAATTTGATATACCCAATGAAATTTTATTGTACAAGTAATGATATTAAACATAAACGTATAAGTCCCAAAAATAGCCAATGCAATGGCTTAGTAAAAAAAAATGTAGGAATTTTTAAAAAAACGTTTAAAAAAATTATGGTATAATATATTGGAATATAGAAATAGTCCATTAGTACTAGTTTGTATAGAATTGTTGAAACCAGAAATATATAATTCAGAGTCGATACACAAATTATTAATAAATAAGCAAGAAAAACAAAAGTATTATGATAGAAGAGCTAAAGAAAGGGCCTTTAATTAAATAAAAAACCATAAGGAATTATATGTTTTATATAATGGTAGTTGGAATAAAGCATTAAATATGGGAGAAGCTGATACACCTAGCAGTAAAACTACCAAATGGTACAATACTTCAAAGAAATACGAAATGGTTGATATTAGTTCAAGGTAAGAGTGAGTGTGGAGGGACAAAAGAAATTGAGAGGAATGATATGACTAGTATTGGTGTTAATTTAGAAAAAGAAAAAAAAAGGTTAAATGGATATAACTTAGCAAATAAAACCTACTGGAATAATTAAAAAACCTGCATATTTAAGAAACTATAGACTTAAGTAAATGTTCTTAAATAGACTTATGTAGATGTTGTACAATAGAATTCAGTAATAAACTAAAAAAAAGGAACATGTTTGATAAGGTTATCAGTTTATGTATTATATAATCAGTTGATCAATGAACAATACATGTATTGTTGTTGCAACTAAAGCACAATATTATATAGATTTCTGTTTTAATAAATATTATGATAATAATAAATGTTGTAATTTTTATTTTTAATAAATAAACATCATACACGAAACAGAACTTATAGTGCATAACATTATTATTTTTTTATTATTATTTTAATATATGTTTGAAGCTCGGAGTATTTCTGGAAAATTTTCAATACTGAAGTTGAATAAGTTACTATTTTGAAACCCCTTTGTGGGCAGATAAAGGGTCAGATTTTCAAAAAATTTATATCAAATGAGAGAGAAATATCTTAAGTTACAATATAAAAAACGGTAGCACAGTGGGGTCGAGGCACAGTGTAGACGAGGCATAGATGGGACAAGTATAGATGATATCTGACAGTGATTAAAATCACTATCATAAAAAACGCTTCGATTCAAATCTGTAGATAGTGTTTCATTTAGAGAAATTGGTGGATTATACTAAAAGCAACATCAACTATTATTTCTTTGATTATATCCTAATTAGTAGTTCTTTAATTTTAAAATATAATATATGAATAAATACTAATTATAATTATTAAATTTAATATGAAATTGTNTTAATATATACTAATTATAATTATTAAATTTAGTATGAAATTGATATTTAATATTGTAATTTAAACGGAGAAATTATAAAAATAATAAAGAAGTTATATTTTGCTTTACTTTTACGTGTATAAAAATTTAAAGGGCTTGATACAATAATTTTCAATAAAAACTGTTTGTTACTATAAATAAATGCACTAGACTACAAGGAACTTACGTCAGAAGCAAAAATATACTTTTCTAAATCAAATTTTTGCGTTGTTTTCAAATCTGCAATGAGACTTTTTCTATCACTTTTAATTTTTTATATTATTACTAATTATATATAAAATAATAATTAAAAGAAAAAAAAATTTGTTTTCAAATTATTACTGATTTGATTTTTAATATGTTAAAAGTAATAATTTTTAACCTAATTTTTTTCGTCCTTTAAAGTGAAAGTTTATAATAAAAAAAAAAATTTTAATTTTTAACCTATTTTTTTGGTTCTTTAAAGTTGATGAAAAATTTTTGACAAGTTTTGTGAAAGTTTATAGAAAAAAAAATTTAATATGTTATCATAACTTTTAGCTCAATTACAAATTGAAATTTGCATCATTAAATAGAAAATTTTATGAGAATTAAAACTGTGCTATTTTTAAGACTAATTTGCAGTCAGGAAATTTTATAATTACTATTAACTGTATATTTATCAGAAAAACTCATTATTTTTTTGCATTTTTATCGTAATAGAACACTTAAATAGAAATCATAGTAATAATTTCTAAGTAATTTTTAGTATTTAAAAATATTCTACAATTGAAATATCCAGAACTAAATTAATTTTAATGATTTACTTTAACTAAAAAAAAAAAAGTTAATATTTTGAATCCCTCTTGTAGGCAGGTAAAGGGTTAGATTTATAAAAAAAAACCAAATGATAAATAAAGACATGCATCTAAATAAAAAAAAATATACTGATTTGGTCATTTTTGATAAAGTTTAACAGTTAATAAAGTTATAAGTTTTATACACTGGACTATAAGGAACTTTTATCAGAAACAAAAATATACTATTCTAAATAAACTTTTCGCGATGTTTTCAAATGTGCAATTAGACTTTTTCTATCACTTCTAAGTTTTAATATTATTAAAAAATAGTATTTACATATAAAATAAATAATTAAGAACAAAAAAAAATTGTTTTAAATTAATACTGATTTTGATTATTAATATGTTAAAAATAAGGAAAATGACACATTTAACCTATTTTTTTAATCGTTTAAAGTTGATTGTTGTAAATGTTTATAATAAAAAAAAAATTTATTTTACCATAATTTTTAGCTCAATTGGTAAGTTTGCATTGACATCATTAAATAGAAAATTTTATGACAATTAAAAAAATTGTATCGTTAAGATCAATTTGCAGTCAGAAAGTTTTATAATTACTATTTATTGTAAATTTATCAGAAATGCTCAATATTTTTTTGCATTTTTATGGTAAAAGATAACTTAAATGGTAGTAATGATGTTAATTTCCTAGTAACTTTTGGTGTTTGAAAAAATTCTGCTATTGAAATATTCATAAATTAATTCATTTTAATGATTTACTTTAACTAAATGAACTAATCAAAACAAAGTTGTTAAAAAGATTTACTCAATTGAGCGTATAATAAAATTTGATTATAATTGTAAAAATCCATTGTTAATTCAGGAGAAACTAACAATCATTTTTTTAGAAATATTTATATAGCAACATGTTACCAAAAAATTTTGAATATTATAGTCTAGTAATAGCACACATAAATAGAGTAAAAAAAGTATTAAATTACAAAGAAAAATGATTTAATTTGGAGTTTAAACCTATCATATTAAATTATCATATCAAACTTGATTCGTCAATAAATACTTTGAAAACATTAGAAATGAATGATTTTAATTGTTTGTATGGGGAACATGGGATAAGTAACTGTTTAATTGATAAATTAGGTTTTTTTTTTC